CTCTCTCTCTCTCTCTCTCTCTCTCTCTCTCTCTCTCTCTCTCTCTCTCTCTCTCTCTCTCTCTCTCTCTCTCTCTCTCCTCTTCATGCTTGCGCTCACTCTCTCCCTCTACTCTCTCTCTCCCTGTCCATCTCTACTGGAGGATCTTGACTCTGAATACATCTGCTGCTACTCAGCTGTGTCTCCTATCACTAGCTATGCGGCTATGGCCGCCTTCCCTCTCGGTGCAGCACTGCCCAGCAGGGCTCTTGCGCGCATGCTACTCGCAGATAGCGCACACGCGCTTCAGCAGCACTTCCACACTTCTCACGAATGAGCCATCTCTCCTGAAATGGGGCTGGCCAGTCCTTATATTGACTTAGACTGAGCCTCAACTCGTCCCAGCCTCTGCTTCCTTTGGCTTGACTTGGGCCCGGTACCACATCCCCACCAGACCCCACGGCCTGCTTGCTTCAGAATGTCAAAGGCCTGGTACTTCCCCAATTTTTTTTCATTGGTGTGCTGCTGCTTGGGTCTGTGAGTCACGACTTTTCACCTGTGAACATGACTTCTGACTTTTGACTGTGGGATGTGACTCTTGCCCCTGGGACACGACTTTTGCCTGGAGACGTGTCCTTTTGCTTGTGGGATACGACTTTTCAATTTGACTTTTCAATATCAGACGCGACTTTTGCTTATACAATACATCATTTAACATATTAGTGCTAGATTCCCAGCACGTGCTGCTCCCCATGAATAGATTGGAGCATGTCTTCCAAAAAAAAAAAAAAAAAAAAAAAGTGCTAGTGTCTGTTACCTCCTGACTCAGGGCATACTCACACGACGACCCGGTACCGTTTAACATATCGGAGAGTCATCCATTACGAAAAGACTTTCCCGTAAGTGGATAATATGTGGACATACGGTTACGGTACACCCGGTACGATGATTCAGGACATACTCACACAGAGTCACACTACGACCTTTTTCAGTTTTTTTTTCTGGACGCAATTGCCGTCAGATACGTCCAAGCAGGGACATAATTATGGTCTGCCAGTGCAAGTGTGCTCTCAGAAGGGGGGGTAAAAGAAAAGTTACCTCGGCTATGTCCACAACATGTATCATGTATGGACTTCTGAACATGCATGGTTTTCACTGTTTTGTCCCCCCTGTCAGCTCTTTATCCAGTACCAACGGGAAGCCACGTTTCTGAGAAAAATAATTGAGGCAGAGATATCTTTGCTGGAAGCAATCGAAGATGGCTCCTTCATAACACATCATATGGAAGACTTCTACTTTGTCAGTCTTCTCAAGGTACTCTCTCTCTCTCTCTCTCTCTCTCTCTCTCTCTCTCTCTCTCTCTCTCTCTCTCTCTCTCTCTCTCTCTCTCTCTC